CTCAGAGGTTCTATTACTACATGAAAGTTTGAGTTGAGTCTTAGCCGTTGACTTTTTTTGATGAATTTTTATGTTGGTATACTTTTAAACTTATTAAAAAGTTACAAATATAGGGGGTACAAGGGGGTCCGATACACTCTTTACCAAGAGTCACCAATTGTTGACATTTCATCCCATTTGCTTTATTATCCTTTCTTCTCCATATACATATATAATGTGTGTGTATGTATATGTAAAATGCATTTGTGAATAAATTGAGGTATTGTGCCCTTTTTCCGGCCCCCCACCGCACTTCAGGAAGGGGCACCTCTTTGATTGGTGGTTAGTGAGAGGAGCACAGTATGTGGCGGCCCTCCAATGGTCTGAGGGACAGTGAACTGGCCCCCTGTATAAAAAGTTTGGGGACGCCTGCTTTAACAGAAACGCAGTAATTAATCAAAACAAGGAGATTATATTAGGTTGGTACAAAAGTAATTGCAGTTTTTTATTACTTTCAATGCAAAAACCGCAATTACTTTTGCACCAACCTGGTACACACACGCTACTATTATCTAATCCACAATGTATGTTCAGATTTTATCAGCCGTCCCAATAATATGCTGTATAACTATCTCCCCACCCCTCAGTTCAGGGTCCACTCTAGGATCACATGTAGGATTTATGTGCTATACCTATTTGGTCTTCTATAATCTGACACATTTCCTCAGTCTTTGTGTTTCTGATATATTTAAAGAGTATACAGGCCAGTTATTTTGTAGAAAATCTCAAAGTTTGAGTTTTTTTGGGGTTTTCCCAAGATTCAGGTTTTGCATTTTTGGCAAGTATACTACTGATATTGTATCTTCTGAGTTCACCGTATGATATATATGATAATGCTTTTTCTCAAAACTGATAATGTTAGCTTTGATCACTTGATTAAGGTAATATTGCCAGGTTTTACTACTGTTATTATTTTCCCTTTTGTAATAAGTAATTTGTGGCAGGCTGCTTTGAGATTATGTAGTAATCTCTTTCTTTACCAAATTTACCATACCCGTTTTATATCCATTTATGATTTTCCCACTCCCTCATTATTTATTAATCAGCATTCTCCTATAAGGGAGAACTTTCCCTTCACCCTCATTTATTTACTCATTTATTTACATCAGTGTGAGTTCATGGGTTATTTTATTTAGTGAGCTATAATGCATTACTATTAAATTGTCCCTAATTTGTCCAGTGGGAACCCTTCCAAGATGGAGGCTGTGTTCTTTTGATATTTTCCCATTATTCTTTGGGAATTTACTTTGTTTAGGGCACCAGAATGTTCCAGGTTTTGATTTATACCTTTTGGGCTCTTGCTCAGTAATAAGCCATTTCTCCAAAGAGCTTTTTGTAAGCCTTTGAAATTTATTTATTGAAAATATAAGCCATTACTCTTGCTCAGTAATAAGCCATTTCTCCAGAGAGCTTTTTGTAAGCCTTTGAAATTTAATCTGAAGGTACTGAGTAACCACCGACATTCTGGGTATGTGGCATGATCCAAATCAATGTTTTTTTAAAAAGACCACTTTGTTTCCGATCGATGTGGTGACGTCACACTCTCCCCTGCCGTGACCGATCCATGGTGGGCGAGGGACGGACTCATGGTGAATGGGACCGCTCTTCTTGTCCTACCTGCGGGGACCCCTTGCCTCTCTTCCCTGCCTGTGAGGGCTGTGTTGGGAGGCATTGGGGTATGAAATCCAGCCCGACTTTTTTTTTTAAATTCCCAAATAAAAAGAATTTTAAAAATTTAAAAATAAATAAATAAAAATAAAGACCACTTTGGTAATAGTGTGTAGAAAACATTGAGTTACGAAACTAGCCATAGAAAGAACAATTATTAGATTATTAGTCTTTTCTAGTAATTTAAGCAAACCGTATGTGGGTCTAAAAATACTATCAATGAAGTAGGAACAAATAACTTTACACTGGAGAAACCTGGTGTGTACTACCTCAGCCAGGTGATCAAGGTCAACATCAATAGTGATGATCTGCTGATAGTTTGTACACTTAATATGAGATAATGAAAATGGCATTTATCTCTGTGGTCTTCCTCCTAAAACCCAATAACCTCAGTATAATAATGAGAAAAACATGAGGTTAATCCCATCTGAAGGACATAGTGGTCCCATTCAAAGGTCATATAATGATAACTACAAAATACCTGACCAGTAATCCTCAAAACCATGAAGGTACTCATCAAAACTGTTATGGGCTTTAGGTAACAGCAGTGTGTTAATAATTATTCATTAATTATAACAATGTACCATACTACTGTAACATGTTAATAATAGGGGAAACTGGGATGGGATACATGGATTCTCTGTACTATCTTCACAGTCTTTTTGTAAACTGACTACTTATTTTTAAAAAAGTTTATTAAAAAACACTATCAGTGGAGTTAAGTAAGTAGGGTTATTTTTAGGTGTGTAAATGAGTGATATTTTCACATAATGCATGATGATAACTTCTTCAGAGTAGTCATTTGTGAAGGCTATAAACTTATTTCAGTAGTGCAGCGGTTCTAAGTGTTTTGCAGCTCTTCAGAGTCTTTAGTAAATTCTTTCGGCTATTTACAGTCTTTTAAAACAGTTGTCCCAGCGTTTTTGACACTAGGGACCGCTTTTGTGGAAGACCATTTTTCCACTCATGGGGTTTGGGAGTATTGCTTCAGGATGAAACTGTTCCACCTCACCTCAGATCGTCAGGCATGAGATTCTCATAAGGAGCACACAACCTAGATCCCCGACATGCACAATTCACAGTAGGGTTTGCACTCCTATGAGAATCTAATGCTGCCGCTGATCTGACAGGATGTGGAGCTCAGGCAGTAATGTTCACTTGCCTGCCATTCACCTCCTGCTCTGCCAACTCAGTTCCTAACAGGCCACGGACTGGTATTGGTCCATGGCCCAGGGCCTGGGGACCCCTGTTTTAAGATATACTTTAGTGAGAGACAGAATAATGTAGCAGTCAAGGCTGTGACTGTACAGAAGTTTCTCAAGCTTTCTAAACCCCCTAGTAGGCATAACAACTTACATTAAAAAGTTATTGTGAGCTAAATGAGATAAGTAATAGATTTCTGTTCTTTGAGGGAGAATTTTGTTTTTGAAAGCAGCTATAAGTTATTTGGAGCCTAATCTGGCTTATATTTAGAGTAAACGTGGTAGTGATACTTCTTGTCAAGAGCAAGATAGAAAAATTTGATGGTACCAGTTTTTGTGTGGCCTATACATTTTTATAAAGATAACTTTAGACTTACAATAGAGTTGGATTATCATGCTTACTCTCCTCCTACCACAGAGGTGATATGCCCTTTTCAGTACATCTTTTTTTAATGGTTTATCACTTTTTTGAGGGGTAAGGGGAAGGGTCCTGCCCTATTGCCCAGGCTGGGGTGCAGTGGTGATCATGGCTCACTGCAACCTTGACCTCCACGGCTCCAGCAATCCTCCCACCTCAGCCTCTCAGTACCTGCAACTACAGGCACGCCCCCACCGCATCTGGCTAATTTTCATATTTTTTGTAGAGACTGGGTTTCACCATGTTGCTCAGGCTGGTCTTGAACTCCTGGCCTCTAGCAATTGGCCCACCTCAGCCCCGCAAAGTACTGGGATTAGAGATGTGAGCCACTGTGTTCCAGTGTCACATTTTAATTATTTTTATTTTTTAATAATTTCAACCTTTCTTTTTGAGACAGAGTCTCACTCTGTTGCTCATGCTGGAGCACAGTGGCATGATCTTGGCTCACTGCAACCTGTGCCTCCCGGGTTCAAGCTATTCTCCTGCCTCAGCCCCCTGAGTAGCTGGGACTACAGGTGCATGCCACCATGCCTGGCTAATTTTTGTATTTTCAGTACAGACGGGGTTTCACCATGTTGGTCAAGCTGGTCTCAAACTCCTGACCTCGTGATCTGCCTGCCTCGGCCTCCCAAAATGCTGGGATTAGAGGTATGAGCCACTGTGCCCAGTGTCATGTTTTAAATTATTTTTATCTTTAAATAATTTTGACCTTTATTTTAAATTCAGGGGGTACCTGCTCATATTTCTTTCATGGGCATATTGCATGATGCTGAGGTTTGAGATATGAATGATCCCATCACCCAGATAGTGAGCATAGTACCCAATGGTTAGTTTTTCAAACCTTGTCCCCCTTTCTCCCCTCCCACCATTAGTCTCCAGTGTCTCTTCCTTTCTTTATGTCCATGAGCACCCAGTGTTTAGATCCTAGTTGTAAGGGAGAACATTGGTTTTCTGTTTCTTTGTTAATTCACTTAACTCAGTGCATCTTAACAAGGATACATGATGTCAGTACGTATTACTGGTGATGTTAACTTTAATCAATTCAGGTGCAGTCTGCCAGGATTCTGTACTATAAATTTAGTATTTTCCTTTAACACTTACATTTTATGAGAGAGAATTTGAGACTATGCTTAAACTTTCACTCACTGATTTTAGCATCCATTAGTGATTCCTCCCTCAGTAGTCATTACTGTGGAATTCTAATGGTGATTTTTATCTTTACCTTACTCCTCCTATGTCTATTAATTGGAATTCTTCTGTAAGGAAGGGTTGTCTGCTTTCCCTCATTAAACTTTTTAAAGTCAGTGTTGGTACTAGGATTTTAAAGTTAAGAGCCAGTTGAACCTACAGATATGTTTTAATTTGAGGAGAAAGATGAGTTGGTTTATTTGTAAATTTAGGGCTGAATAGAATCTGTAAACTCAGTTGTATTTTGTGCTTTATACATTTTACTTTCTGAATTTTCTTTTTGTGTGGTTTTTGTTTTTGTCATTTGTAAAGTTATATTTTTTGTAAGAACTCATGAAACTGCATGATTTTTCTCACATCAAATATCTCCAAGTTATGAGTTAGAGGAAACTAAAGAAATTGTATTTTTATGTTCATATGTATTTTTAAATTTTGTAATTTAATAACTACTTTTGAATGAAAACATTCTTTTTTTCCTTTCTTAGGCTTGAAAAGGAATACACTACAATAAAAACAAAAGAAATGGAAGAGCAAGTTGAAATTAAAGTAAGCATTCTGGGCTTTTTTAAGTACTGAAGATTAATTGACTGAAATCAATTATTGGATGGTAGATGTTAAAGTTTGTACTTCTTATATTCATAAATTTATTTAGCATCCTATTAGATTAGAGTTAAAAATAGACATTTCAGAAAAGCAGAATAATGCGACTAAAGTGGCTTTCATTCCAGTGTGAAGGAGAGCAAGCTCTTCCTTTTTCTAGATTTATTGGTGGCTCATCAGGAGAAAATACTTCCATGGAGAAGATAATTATCATTCCATTTAAGCATGTTTTTTTAAAGTTACAGAGAAGACAATCTATAATAACACTTTCCAAGCTGAGACCAACAAGAGTATAATCTCAGCCAAACATTAAATAGAGCACATTATTACACTAGAATTAATTATGGCTGCTCTAGAGCTACAGAAAGCTTTGACTGATACAACTTTTTCTTCTCTAAGCAAGGTTTATGCTTTTGAACTACTTCTCTCCAGAAAATCAAGGAGAGTTTCAATTCAAAGGGCATATAAATACCATATATATGCTCTAAAAATATAAAGTTTGTACTCCGCCGTAAGCCAAGGAATTCTTGAGTTATTGCAGGATGGAGATGATAAGTGGAAGCGTGAGTCAAAGAACTTACTGACTGGCTAATTTAATTTCGAATCTCTTTATTCCCCTCCACCCCCGCCCCCCCAAAGCCTCTGGAGGAAAGGGTTAAATGTAAAATAATTTTAATGGAATGATTTCTTCCTCCCTTTTTGAACTTTGAATGTTTCCAATTTTTAACTCGGACCTGGCAAGACATATGACCAACTTGTTTATAACCAGCCATGTGTTAATTGAGCCTTGCTATAAAATAACACTCGCATCCCACAGGCTCCTTTTGCAAGGAAATGGGTTCTGTTAAACTAATACTCTTTCTTGCCGTGGCCCCCCTCAAAAGCCTCTAGGGAAACAATCTCTCCAGTTTCCCTGTAGAGAAACTGGAGAGAAACTCCCTCTCTCTTACCAACTCTGTCCTCTCTTTTCTAGAGGTTCTATTCCCATTTCTATCACCTTTCCTTATCAAATGAAAATAGCTACTTCCAGATTTTTAATACATAGAGAAAAGACCCTGGTGGATGTTTTTCCCTTTTTTTTTTTTTGAGACGGAGTTTCGCTCTTGTTACCCAGGCTGGAGTGCAATGGCGCGATCTCGGCTCACCGCAACCTCCGCCTCCTGGGCTCAGGCAATTCTCCTGCCTCAGCCTCCTGAGTAGCTGGGATTACAGGCACGCGCCACCATGCCCAGCTAATTTTTTGTATTTTTAGTAGAGACGGGGTTTCACCATGTTGACCAGGATGGTCTCGATCTCTTGACCTCGTGATCCGCCCGCCTCGGCCTCCCAAAGTGCTGGGATTACAGGCTTGAGCCACCGCGCCCGGCCTTTTTTTTTTTTTTTTTTTTTTTTTTTTTAATTCTGTCACACAACTGCTGCTCTACCATTTGCTTTTCTTTTAGGTACCATGAGTAAGGGTACTTTTACTGAAAGTAAAATTACATAATCTTGATGAATAGGGAGAGTATGGGTTTTCACTTACTATGAATATTTGGAACTGCAAATTAAGAATCTGAGGATGGGGAAGCCATCCTATTCATTTCACCACACTATGTTATTGAAAAAAAAAATCACAGTTCTATGAACAATCCTTACTCTTGAAGAAGTTTCTTATAAAATTAAGTATATGAATATAGGAATAACAAAAGGTCTTTTTGGAAAACAAATCTTTAGCAGACTTTCACCTGTACTTGCAGTATTTTCGTCCTTCCTTCTTTTTTTTCCCTTTTTAAAGACAGGGTCTCCCTGTTACCCAAGCTGGAGTGCAGTGGCACAATCTTGGCGCATTGGCAGCCTTGACCTCCCGGGCTCAAGCGACCCTCTCACCTCAGCTTTCCAAGTAGCTGGGACTACTGGTACACATCACCATGCCTGGCTAATTTTTTGTACTTTTGGTAGAGACGTGGTTTTGCCATGTTGCTCAGGCTGGTCTCAAAACTCCTGAGCTCAGGTGATCCACCAGCCTTGGCCTCCTAAAGCGCTGGGATTATAGGTGTGAGCTACCATGCCCAGCCATTTGCAGTATTTTCTATCCTTTGTTTTTTGGGGAAAGTGATAGTTCATATGCCTGAAGAAATGCTTTTAAATCTGGCTCCATGTGTCTCAGGCAGTTGACATAAAATTGTGTATAGAGAAGAATATGGGAGGGAAAAAAGCTTAGAAGGTTAATGGACCAAACATATCAAGTAAATAAAGTATGCTGATCTCAAAGGTAGTCTCTTCTCTTTTTCTAATACTGTTTCCATGTAGCTCTTTCTTATTACCATTTTCATCTCTTTTTTCACTCCCCAGTTCTACAAAATACTGAAACGAAAGCAATTTTTGAATGACTGTACTTTTTTAAACTTCATATTTAGGGGTATCTGGTTTTTTTACTTGAACCCTGGCATCTCATTTCAATCATGATCAGATGGCCATCTTATTTACAATTCATTAGTGAGGTAAAATATTAATTGAGCCTTGCTGTACAATGCTACTTCTTATACTCCCTTCTCCCATAAGTCTCTTTTATAAGAGAATGGGTTCTAGTTGTAAACTAATACTTTCTTGCCTTGATCCTTTTAAAAGTCCACAGGAAGATGGTTTTGTGCCATTATTTTTGTAGGCAAATAGTATGATTTTCAGATTGTTTGATGTTTTGAAATGGAAGTATAAAATTAGCCATTGGTGTTGTGAAATGTGTTTATAAGGTCTCTGTTATTTTCACATTGATTAAAAGACCCTTGGGGTGATAATCTATTCTAAGAACTGTATCTATCAGTGAGCCCCCTGGTTAAGATGTGACGTTTAAATATTTTTTTTCACCTCTTCTCTAAAAGTGTTACAGGAAGAATTTGATAATAATGTCTTCATTTGGAGAATCTGTTCTTGGGGTTTTTTTGTTTTTTTTTTTTTTGAGACTGAGTCTGACTGTGTTGCCAGGCTGGAGTGCAGTGGCACGATTTTGGCTCACTGCAGTCTCCACCTCCCGGGTTCAAGTGATTCTCCTGCCTCAGCCTCCTGAGTAGCTGGGACTACAGGTGTGCACCACACCCAGCTAATTTTTGTATTTTTAGTAGAGACAGGGTTTCACCATGTTTGGAGAATCTTAAATTTTACTATGTGAAATTTTTTGTTAAAAGAACATCTTTATCAGTATCTTCTTACAGTCTATTATGTTCTACGTGCTGTGGAGGAGACAAGAAATATTAAAATTCTAGATTGGCCAGGCACAGTGGCTCACACCTGTAAATTCAGCACTTTGGGACGCCGAGGCAGTGGATCACTTGAGCCCAGGAGTTTGAGACCAGCCTGGCCAACATACCAAGACCCCATCTTAATTTTAAAAAAGAAAAAAATTATAAAATTCTAGCTTATATTAGGGTAACCCACAAATATTTTAAAAAGAAAAACTTTGATTCTGATAGACATGAACAGATAATCTCTTTTTTATATTTAAATTTATGCTTTGAGATGCAAAGATCTAAAGCCCTACAAAGGGAAGCATTAGAAATTCTCACTAGTTTTTAGTCAAAAGTTAAGTATTTTTTTTTTTCTGTTTCAAAAACTGTGGTACATTTCAGATATGCTGAAAGCCAGAAAATAACATAACATAAAATAATGTAAAAGTGCTCATTGAATATAATGAATTTTTATGCCTGGCATAAAAATGAAAAAAAAAAAAAAAAAAAAAAAAAAAAAAAAAGATAAGTATTATTTAAGTTGCCCAGGAATAACATTTGAACAATCAGTGTGAAGTATTAGAATGAAAGCTCTCATTTATTTAGCCCTTAATATGTGGTGGGTCACTTACATGCATTATTTCCCCTTATTCTTACAACAGCATCATGAAAGGGTTCTTATCCTTATCTATGAAGAAAGTAGGCCTCAGAAAGCTCAAATAATATGCCAGTGGTTACATTGTGAGGAAACAGTGAGAATCAAGGATTTGAAGTCTGATTTGTGTTATTCTAAGGCCTATGTATATTCTTCAGTATATACAGTGTGCTGCTGCTGCTTTCCAAGAGAGACTTTGATGTATTTGTCATGTAAGATATGGATGCATCTGTAGTCTTAGCTACTCAGGAGGCTGAGGCTAGAGGCAGTTGCTTGGGTTCAATTGGTTGAACCCAGGAGACAGAGGTTGCCGTAAGCCGAGGTTGTGCCACTGTACTCCAGCCTGGCAACAGAACAATACCTTGTCTCAAACCCCCGCCCCATCTCTCCAAAAAAAAAACAGATAACCAAGCTATAATTACCAAAATACTGTGATATTAGTTCCAAAAAAAAAAAGTAACACTTGAAACTTAAAGGTAACCCCGAAATGGTCTGTATTAACTGAGAAAGTCTGTTCTATTGGATCGGTTCCTAATGATAATATTTTACAAATGAGGAAGTGGTGATAGTTGTTTGTGGAAGAAAGTCGTTGGGGAAAGAAATCCAGGTGAACGTTTTCAGTTCTAAATTTTATTTTAGCATGATTTCTGTCCTAACTTAATTCACTCAGTTGTCTGGTTGGAACTTAGTTTTCTACATCTTTTAAGATAAAAACAAAAAGTTACCTTTTGTTGATGAAATGTGATTGAGAACATTTTGAGAATCTCATTTATTTCTTTGGCTATCTAGACTTTAGCAGCATTTAATAATTGCTTATTTGTGTAGACCACTGTGCTGCACATATCAGGAGGAGCCAAGAAATGAGAACATTTTCTGCTTCTCAAGCTGTTATTTTGTTGTCAGATATTAGTTATTAACTTTCCTATATGTCATAATGTCCATTTCAGATCATCTAAATTTTAGTGAATAGAACAAGAAATCTAATTTGCAAAGTATTCTTATAATAACTCTAAGATTTGTTTCAATTTGTGATCCACTTAATAAGATGCAGTAATTCAGAGCCTCTCATTTCCCTGAACTAAGACTTTATATGTTATATAAAACCATACGTAAGTCTTTACTGGCAAAGTAATAGGCTGAATCGATGGAAGAATTTTCTGAGACAGACATTTTTTAGCAGAAATTTATAGGAAGGTGGGCTGGACAGTTTTGGAACAAATTGGTACAAAAAGCTAAGAGTGATTACTTTGAAACTGAAATTTGATGGCAAAAATGAAGGTACAACATCTAAGGAATTTGAAAATGAAAAGACCACTTATAAAGGGGATTAATAAGCAATGATATTGGTGGATATGCAAAAATAACTTTTTAAAAATGTAGAGTGACTTGGATTTAATAGTTGATGACAGTAATTAGACAAGTTTTTGGGAACCAGGCATTGAATAACTAGGTGAAGGGCTTTTTAAAAAAAATCTGGTTTTACTTTTTGAATTAAAAGAAAATGCTAGTAATTGAAACTGTTAATTTTCTCAGAAAAAAATAAGAATTAAATTTTTTGTGTTTTCGGAATGTAATGAATTCTACAACCTGTCATCTATGCCATATTATATATGGAGACTATTGTAGTCTAAATGGGCAATTTTTTTTTTCTTTCAAATTTGAGACAAGGTCTTGCTCTGTTGCCCAGGATGGAGTACTGTGATGTGATACTGGCTCACTGCAACCTCTGCCTCCAGGGCTAAAGTCATCCTCCCCCTCAGCCTCCTGAGTAGCTGGGACTACAGGCACATTGCCGCCACACCCAGTTAATTTTTAAATTTTTTGTAGAAATGGGGTTTTGCCATGTTGCCCAGGCTAGTCTTGAACATCCCAGCTCAAGTGAGCCACTGTGCCGGGCCCTAAATGGACAATTTGATGTTTAGCCTTTGAATGTGCATTTTTTAGATCTCTTATTTCTTCATTCAACTGACATTTGAATATTAATTATATAGATAGGCTCTGTTGGAGGTAGGCAAGTTAGAATCTTTTCTGTCTAATGAGGATGTTAAAACACATAAGGAAATATTTGATTATGAGTCATTATGATAAGTATAGAAATGAAAGGGCTTATTTCTGTATGTACTATGGGGTACATTTTAATATGATTATTTCCTGTGCCATGGTATATTTATTTCTATTTCTTTATCTTCCTTTCCTTTCCTTTTCCTTTTTTTTTTTTTTTTTTTTTTTTTTTGAGACGGAGTTTCGCTCTTGTTACCCAGGCTGGAGTGCAATGGCGTGATCTCGGCTCACCGCAACCTCCGCCTCCCGAGTTCAGGCAATTCTCCTGCCTCAGCCTCCTCAGTAGCTGGGATTACAGGCATGCGCCACCATGTCCAGCTAATTTTTTGTATTTTTAGTAGAGACGGGGTTTCACCATGTTGACCAGGATGGTCTCGATCTCTCGACCTCGTGATCCACCCGCCTCAGCCTCCCAAAGTGCTGGGATTACAGGCTTAAGCCACCGCGCCCAGCCTCCTTTTCCTTTTTTCTTTCTTTTCTCCTTTCCTCTTTCCCCTCCCCTCCCCTCCCCTCCCCTCCCCTCCCTTCCCCTCCCCTCCCCTTCCCTCCCTTCCCTTCCCCTCCCCTCCCCTCCCTTCCCCTCCCCTCCCCTCCCCTCCCCTCGCCTTCTCTCCTTTCCCCTCCTCTTCTCTCCCCTCCCCTCCTCTTTCTCCCTTCCCCTCTCCTCCCCTTTGTTGACACAGTGTTTCACTCTGTCACCCAGGCTGGAATACAGTGGCTCAATCTTGGCTCACTACAACTTCCTCTGCCCCCACCTCAGCCCCCACCTTCCAGCTGCCCACCTCCCAGCTGCCCACCTCAGCCCCCTAGGTAGCTGGGATGACAAGCTCACACCACCATTCCTGGCTAAAGAGCGTGTGTGTGTGTGTGTGTGTGTGTGTGCGTGTCTGTGTGTCTGTGTTGTCCATGTCTTTATTTTTCATAGAGACGAGGTTTCACCATGTTGCCCAGGCTTATCTGAAACTCCTGAGCTCAAGCCATCTGCCCACCTTGGCCTCCCAAAGAGCTGGGATTACAGGCTTGAACCATAGCGCCCTGCCTGCTGTGTGTTTCTTACTCTGAGTCTTTGGCATTTGATAACGTAATCATTCCTTAGACTCCTTTCTTATTTATAAAAGGTGGTACAGTTTCAGGACTGTTATTTAGGAATCTTTTTTCCTCTCAAGAATGCTTGCCAATAAAACATTTTTTTTCTTGGCAGAGGTTACGCACAGAAAATAGACTTTTAAAACAGCGCATCGAGACATTAGAAAAAGTAAGTGACTACTTACCGAAGCTTCTGTTGAATGCCTAGTGTTTTTTTGTGTGTTATTTATTAAAAATCCTCAAAAATTCTGGCACACATCTCCTATGTTGTAGTATTGACTGCTTAACTCACCTACCTTACTATTTATAGCCAGATAACTTGTTACTAATAAAAATTGATCAGTTGTACTGGTTCTTTTGAACTTTCGTAGTCAAGTTTTAACTGAGATTAAGAGTAACATGTTGATACTATTTGTTTTCTTTACACATAATTTCTAAAAAGTATGTTCTTTTAGAATCTAGTTGGGAGTCCATTCTGATAAAGCATTTTAAATATGAGTTTCAAATGTTACCTTAGACTTTTTAGCATATTTTATGCACCAGTGAGTCTTTTAAGGCCTAGGATTGCGTTTAGTTGAAGTGACTGACTGATTCCTTATATAAAAATTCACTCGCAAGCTGATTTTCAACACAAAGGAATTGTGCATAAGCTTTTAGTTCTTAGAATTATTTCGATATCTACTTGTTACATTTTCTCTGTTTCATATAGAATAACTGGGCAAATGTGGAAATTTTGCATTATTTTTCATACTGTGCTTTTGATGAAAAATCTTTTATAGTCATTTTCAGATGCTAGAAGAATGAATTGAGTAGTAAAAGTCTGGTTTAAGAATTTTGCTTTTTTGAAGGAAAAATACCTGAATTCACAAACTCTTTTGGTGTTTTTTTTCTTTTTTTTCCTGAGATAGAGTCTTGCTGTTTCACCCAGACTGGAGTGCAGTGGCACGATCTCGGCTCACTGCAGCCTCTGTCTCCTGGTTTCAAGCGATTCTCCTGCCTCAGCCTCCTGAGTAGCTGGGACTACAGGCATGTGCCACTACACCCGGCTAATGTTTGTATTTTTAGTAGAGACAGGGTTTCACCGTGTTGGCCAGGATGGTCTCGACCTTCTGACCTTGTGATCTGCCTGCCTTGGCCTCCCAAAATGCTGGGATTATAGGCATGAGCCACTGTGCCTGCCCACTTTTTTTCTTTCTTTCTTTTTCTTTTTTTTTTTTTTTTGACTAGAGATGACAGTAAGTAGATTTAAGCATACCCCTCATCATATTGCCAAGGATCTTAAAATCTTCCCTGCAAATCTACAGATAAAATTCAAGACATAAATAAATGGAAGTATGGATATTTTACAGTATTTGTCTTTTGCTTAAAAAGTATTGATGATTTCATATTAGATAAAAGTGTATAAGGACAGGATATTTATTACATGTCTGCCTTTATTGTATAATAATTGCAGACACATCATTTTAAGTCAAAAATAGTTTCCCTGTTTTTTTCTCATCATGTTAGGATTGCTATGAGGATAATTCTACTTTTGGTGACTCCAAGGAAGGTTGAGCTTACTTTTAAGTTCTTAGTTTTAATTATGTACTCTTTTTTCTCATTAAATATCTAGCTTACAATCAAATATGCATCTTCTTAGTTTTTTTGTTTTTGTTTTTTAATCTTTGACGTGAGACATTTAAACCAGGAAAGCATTCTTATTTCATTGAACCTTCGGAATGATAATGATGTTGTAAGAAAATGTTTGGATTTTGCTTCTGGAAAATTAAGTTCCTTTTTTTATTGGCTTAGATGGCCCAGGTGTGTCACTTAGCACTAGAATTCTATAAATACTATGTATCAATTGAATTCTGTAATAAAAAAGTATACTTGCTCAGTTATTGCTAAAGTTTAAGTTTAGCTTATTAATTTTGTCATATTTTCCTTGCTTTGTTTCTTTGAAAGTTGCTGTTGCACAAATTGCTGTCACACTTTATAAGTGGAATTGCTTACTCACATTCCTTCTTCCTTTCATGTAAGTGGGTTGACAGTTTGGGTTAAGTCTAAAAGATACAAAGATATCAAAAGAGGAAGAAATATTTGGCCAGTGCAGTGGCTCATGCCTCTGATCCCTGCACTTTGGGAGGCTGAGGCAGGAGGATTTCTTAAGGCCGGGAGTTCAACACTGTCCTGGGCAACATAGCAAGACCGTATCTGTACAAAAAATTTTAAAACTAGCTGGGCGTGTGGCACACACCTGTGGTCCTGGCTGCTCAAGAGGCTAAAGCAGACCATACCATTGCATTCTGGCCTGGGTGACAGAGTAAGACCCTGTCTCTATTTTTAAAAAAAAAAAAAAGACATTTGCTTGTTCCAGGTAATGAAAAACCACTTGGAATTTGTGTTTGGTATCTTCTGGAAACACATGATTTTCAACCAGCTATTCTTCTTGTTTTCGTATATTTTTCTTAAGGTTTAAAAATAGAAACATTCAGTAAAAAATAATATGTTTAAGTCCATTTTAATTAGCAATGAAAAGTAGATGGAATTTGGGTATATTTGTTTCTTTTTTCCTAATTTTATCACTTTTATCTTACTTCTTTCTCTTATATTTCTATCTGAATTTTTCCTTTTGTAGGAAAGTGCTTCCTTGGCAGATAGATTGATACAGGTATAGTTTCTGTTTTTGTTTCTGTTTTTTAAACATCTTCTCTAACTTCTAAGCAAAGTCCTAAACCTCGAAATTCATATTTTAATGCATGCAATTTTATATGCATTTTCTTAGAAATAATTTTTTGGGTGGTATATGTGGGTATAAACTTAATTTTTTATAACAAGGTGTTATCTTGGTTTATTTTTGCACGTTTTAAAGCTAACCTTTTTTTTTAAGTATTTATTTCAAAATGGGAATCAGTAAATTCTGTGAAATTAACTACTACTATTCGTTGAAAATTTTAGTCCTGCATGTACAACTCAGTAATATTGCATGAATTAAGTTTTTATTGACTGAAAGAAGATTTGTTCTTAAGATTGTCAGGTGAATTTTTCATTAGTTTCCCAAAATTTGCTGGATCAATAACAAGCTGCTAGCTAATGATTACCTAGGCTGTTCTATTCACTGAGGTGACTTTTTTTTTTTAACATGTCAAAGTAAGTAACTAAACCTCACAAAGGCAGTCTTTCTTGAATCTATCCTAAATTGCTTTACACACACAAAAATTATGTCCTAAGGGACAAGTGACAAGAGCCCAGGAGGCTGAGGAAAACTACCTTATAAAACGGGAGTTGGCCACCATCAAACTGCAGAGTGATGAGGCCAGTGCTAAGCTGGAGCAAGCTGAAAATACCATCAGGAAGCTCCAGCACCAACAACAATGGGTAAGGAGTCTGGTAGTGCTTTTCTCACCTTTCTCATCCCCCTCCCTTTTCATTTTTTTTTTCATAGCACAGATTCTGTGCTATTGTTTTAAATAATTTTGTTTTCAACTTTAATCGAACTTTTAAATTATTCCATTTTATGTTCTGTGATACTTAGGAGTCTTATTGTGGCCTAAAGACTCCTGTTCTAATTTTTTTTTTCTGTCTATACCATTTTGTTAGAAATAGGTAATATAATCTTTTCTTACACTATGTTTTAAGTCATGGGAAATAAGCAGTGTGTGTCAGAATTGCTTTTAAGTTTTTAGAAATTTGTTTTTATAATAGATACCATTTTGCTAACAGTAATTTTTAAATCCTTACTTCAGCTAGTTTTTGTTCATTGTGCAGATGAAATATTACCCAACATGTGGAATATATATAATGATCTCATTTAAAGCTTTGATGATGTGGCAATTCATGTCTTAGGAAATTCTATTGCTTAGACTTTCTACATCAAGACATTGAATTATGGGTTAAGGTTTATGTCTGTATTTCAAAGGGAAAGAAGTTACAAAGATGAAAAAGATTAACCCTTTAAAAATTATCTTAATTAACCTAGAGTGTGTTTCTAATTGTCTTAATCAACCTAGGGTGTATACTCAACAGTTACTAATTGTACAGCTAGCCTCAGGTATCTTATGCAACTTAGACATTTTCCATTGGCAAATTCAGACTGGGGTGATCTTAATCAGAAATATGAGGGTAAAAGAAAAGCCAAACTGTTTATCTTTGAAAAGATACTACTTCTTGTTTGGTTTTCCATCCTCAAGTAGGTACTAGATTGTAATAAGCAGAAAAAGCTGTGTTAATCCTCCCAGAACTCTATGCAGATCTAGAAGGCAAATAGAGTGACTGCAAAGTAGGACATTCCTTTTACTCAGTAAAGTTAAGGAATAGCATTATCATCTTGGTACAAAAGAGATAAAAGAAAAGAAAAAAGAAAAATTGGCAATTGAAAGAGCCGTAAACGTCGTTTTTTTCTATTATGTTATTGAAGATTGCTAAAAAGAAATGAATAAAAGTGATAAAATAATACTAAAAACAAGGGAACTCATATTTTGCTCCCCTTTTGTATGAAATGCCAGTGATATCAAAGCATTAAAAAGAAAAAAATTGTGGAGTTATGTTAGGAATTTAGCTTGAAATAAGTTACTTTAATGTGATTTTTTAAAAAGAAAAGACAGTAAGTATTGTTTGCATTTAGTATAAGCTACAGTCATATATTAGAATCATGAGTTAAATTTTTTACATTTTTTCAAATATTGAGAACTATATAGATAGATGTATATCAAAGGGATAGGATGTGGTTTATAGTGAAAAATGTAACTTGGTGGTTGTAACCAATTGAGTTGAATGGAAAGCACCACACTCGATGAGTTTGAATTACGAGTCTTATTGCCGGTGACTGAGTGTCAGCTCACGCTCCAAATCTCTCCGCCCCGAGGAAGATATTTGATTTCCTTTTATATGTTGCTCAGGGTAAAGGGACAAAGTGGAAATTTACAGAAGCAGAATAAGCAAGTTAGGGGAGGAGGCTGGTAGATAGGAGGTAGGAGGCTCCCATGATTGTTGATTAACTAAGGAGGGTATACACAAGCAGTTCCCACGATTGCTGGTTAACGGGGTGGGGGTGGGGGCACATTAAATGCTTTCCATACACTTAGTCAAGCGGGTATTCACAATAGCAAGTGGGCTTGTCAAGCAGGATAAGGTTACAACAGTTATGTGTTTCTATAGTTCTAAGTACAACATGGCCCAGCACAAGAACATGACCCAGATATGCACTCAGGAGAAATGGCGGTGGCGGGGGGCGCGGGGTGGTGGTGGTGGTGGTGGTGGTGGTGGTGGTGGTGGTGATGATGATGATGATGGTGATGGTGATGAGGCGGAGGTTAAGATGGAATCTGTCTGACTTTCAGCAAAATGGAGTCTGTCTGGCTAATACAGGGTAGGTTAGCACATGGTGAGCAAAACTGGCCAGAATAAGCTGGATAAGCATATTACTGGTAGAAAGTAAACATCTATTGCCCAGTGTTTTGATTATAGCCTTCCAATACAACTTTATGAATTCTTCAAACTCTCAGAATAATGGTTTTAAATCTGTATTCCAGCAGGAGGTATTGAATTACCAAAATTAACCGTCCTTCACCACCACTCCCTACTGCCAAATAATGGCAATTTAAACAATATAAAGAGCTTTGGATTTCATTTAGGGAACTAGATTCTAGTCCGATTTGTGATCTTGCATACTCAGAGATAGTTTTGTATGTTTTTTCCCCCTCCCAGATGATTAAATAGGGCTAGATCTTCTTGGGTCTCTCTTTTTCACCCTTTTTTTTTTATTTGAGACGGAGTTTCGCTCTTGTTACCCAGGCTGGAGTGCAATGGCGCAATCTCAGCTCACCGCAACCTCCGCCTCCTGGGTTCAGGCAATTCTCCTGCCTCAGCCTCCTGAGTAGCTGGGATTACAGGCACGCGCCACCATGCGCAGCTAATTTTTTGTAGTTTTAGTAGAGACGGGGTTTCACCATGTTGACCAGGATGGTCTCGATCTCTTGACTTCGTGATCCACCCGCCTCAGCCTCCCAAAGTGCTGGGATTACAGGCGTGAGCCACTGCGCCCGGCCTCTCTTTCACTTTTAAAATTAACTTTATTAAAGTATAATTTATATGTAATAAAATTCATCAAAAGTATGTAGCTTGGTGTATTGGAAATGTATGTAGTTGTGAACAACTACCACAATCAAAACAAAGAATATTTCTGTCATTCCCTTTACGGTTCACCAACCCCAACCCTAGCAACCTGTCTGCTTTCTGTCACTATAGTTTTACCTCTTCTAGAATTTAATATAACTGAAATTGTAAGGTATGTGACTTTTATGTCTGGCTTCTTTCACTTAGCATATCTATTCACTTTTTTTGGATGATTTTTGAAAGTTTTATTTGTGATTGATACATCAAATCAGAATAATTAGCTAACACATTGATTACCTCAAACACTTATTATTTCTTTGTGGTGAGAACATTCAAAATCCTCTCTTCTAGCTATTTTCAAATATACAAGACATTATTGTTAACTGTAGTCACCCTACTGTGTGTGCAATGTAACACCAGAATTTATTCTTCCTATCTAAGGGTAACTTTGTACCTTTCAGTTATTCTCTTCGTATCACCATGTTCCCAATCCCCTCGCTAGCCTCTGGTAACCACTATTCTATTCTCAGTTTCTATGAGATGAACTTTTTTAGATTCCACATATGAGTGAGATCGTGTGGTGTTTGTCTTTCTATGTCCGGCTTATTTCACTTAACATAATGTCCTGCAGGTTCATCCATGTTGTCACAAATGACAATTTTATTTTTTTTAATGGCTGAATAGTTTTTGTTTTGTTTTGTGAGACAAAATCTCACTGTCGCCCAACATGGATTGCAGTGGTGCGATCTTGGCTCACTGCAACCTCTTCCTCCCGGGTTCAAGTGATTCTCGTGCCTCAGCCTCCTGAGTAGCTAGGATTACAGACGCCCACCACCAGGCCCGGCTAATTTTTGTATTTTTAGTAGAGACGGGGTTTCACTATGTTAGCCAGGATGGTATTGATCTCTTGACCTCATGATCCACCCACCTTGGCCTCCCAAAGTGCTGGGATTACAGGTGTGAGCCACCACGCCTGGCCTGAATAGTGTTATTTTTATACATTTAGGGCATACAAGTGTGTTTTGTTACATGAATGTATTTCATAGTAGTGGAGTCTGGGCTTTTAGTTAATCATCACCTGAATAGTAGACGTTGTATCCATGAGTTAATTTCTTATCCATCATCCCATTTCACCCTGTTACCTTTCTGAGTCTCCATTGTCTATTATTCTGTGCTGTATGTCCATGTGTATACATTATTTATTTCCATTTGTAAGTGAGAGTATGCAGTATTTGACTTTCTGAGTTATTTTACTTAAGATAACATCCTCTAGTTTTATCCATGTTGCTGCAAAAGACATAATTTCATTCTTTTTAATGGCTGAGTAATATTTCATGGTGTATATACACATCATTTTTTTTTTTTATTTAGTCATCCATCAGTGGACACTTAGGTTGATTCCATATCTTTGCTATTGTGAATAATGCTATGAGAAATATATGAATACAGGTATCTTTGATATAATGATTTTTCCTTTGGGTAGATACTCAGTAGTAGGATTGTTGGATTGAATGGCAGTTTTATTTTTAGTTCTTTGAGAAATCTCCATACCATTTTTCATACAGGTTGTACTAATTTCCATTTCGACCAGTAGTTGTAAGTGTCCCATTTTCTCCACATCCTTACCAATATCCGTTGTTTTCTGACTTTTTAATAGCCATTCTGACTGGTGTGAAATGTTATCTCATTGTGGTTTTAATTTTAATTTCTCTGATGATTGGCAATGTTGAGCATTTTTTCCATATGTTAGCGATTTGTGTGTCTTCTTTTGAAAAATGTCTGTTCATCTCCTTTGTTCACTTTTTTTTTTTTGAGATGGAGTTTCACTCTGTAGCCCAGGCTGGATTGCAGTGGTATGATCTTGGCTCACTGCAATCTCTGCCTCTCAGGTCCCAGTTCAAGCATTTCTCCTGCCTCAGCCTCCAGAGTAGGATTACAGGCACGCGCCGCCATGCCCAGCTAATTTTTAAAATATTTTTAGTAGAGACAGGGTTTCACCATGTTGACCAGGCTGGTCTTGAACTCCTGATCTTGTGATTTGCCCACCTTGGCCTCCCAAAGTGCTGGGATAACAGGCGTGAGCCACCTGGCCTTTTGCTCACTTTTTAATAAAGTTGTTTTTTGTTTTTTGTTTTTTTTTTTTCTTGTTGAATTGTTTGAGTTCCTTGTAGATTCTGGATATTTTTCCTTTGTCTGATGCATAGTTTGCAAATATTTTCTTCCATTCTGTAGGTTGTCTTTTTACTCTGTTGATTATTCCTTTT